CGCAGCCAGATCTCCTCGTGCAGGCTGCCCTGCAAGAAAGCAGTGCTGAAGTCAAGAGAGTGTAGCTCGTAGTCACGGTGAGCAGCTACGTGCAGCAGTACCCGAAGAGTGGTCATCTTCGGGGTGGGAGAGAAGGTCTGAAAGTAGTCAACTCCCTGCCGCTGACTGAAGCCACGAGCCACGTAACGCGCCTTGAAGACAGGCGGAGAACCCGGCGGTCGCTTCACCCTGAAAATCCACATGCCACTGATGATGTTCGCCCCAGGAGGGGGAACAGCGTCAACGTAGGTGCCTGTGGACTTCCAGGAAGCCATCTCTGCGTCCATAGCTGCCTGCCACTGAGAGGAGTAGGGACCTTCTATCGCCTCCGCGTAAGAGCGCGGAGTCGGGATGTCAAGTGCATCCGGGTCTCCCTCAGGGGCAATCAGCATGGACACGAGATGAGGTGAAGCAGCGGCCAAGCACTGGAACTCCTCCTGCCTGTCCTCAAGGACGTCCGTGCCAAGGGCACACTCACCCCCGACGGACGGAGGACAGACAGACTCAGACTCAGTAACAAGACTGGCGACGTAGTCTAGGCGACAGCGAGCAGCAAAGTCGACGAGCTCAGCAACTAGAGCAGACGCAGCAGTGGACTCAAAGGAAGGGTCAGTGACAACAGTAGCAAGGAGACGCGTGACAGTAGGACTGGCAGCGCGAAGAGAGTCCGACTCCGGGTCGGCAAGAGCAGGAAGAGAAGACTCAGGAGGAGAAGGCAAAGGGGCACGCAGAGGAGCAGTGGACGGACGCAGAGACATCCGGTGCGTGCCAGGGACAGGAGGAGGACGCTGACGCGAACCGCGACCACTAGTGCGAGCAGCACGGACAGGCGACGCAGGGCGAGACGCAGGCTCACGACGCTCAGCAAGACCTCCAGTAGGACCAGTGTAGGGAGACGGAGCAGGCAGTGGGGAGGCCAGCTGTAACTGTAACTGCGACGGGACAGGCTGTGGACACTCTAAGGGAGGAGGAGGACCAGTAGAAGGCGAGAGACCAAGAACCTGCTGAAGGAGCGGAACGAAGTACGGCCGAGGCCGCGCGGCGACTCCAGACACAGGAGGGACAGCACCAGCACCCCCAGTGGCAGCACCAGCGCCAGTAGCAGCTCCAGCTCCAGAACCCCCAGCAGCACCAGTAGTACCCCCAGCAGGACCGCCTCCAGGACCGACAGCAGTAGCCTCCGCGCCAACACCCGCAGCAACTCCAGCTCAAGAAGTACCCGCAGGTCCAGCAGCTCCAGTACTCCCAGTACGAGCACCTCCGGGACCCGTGGCACCAGCTCCCTCAGCAGCAACAGAACCTCCAGTACCCGCAGCACCTCCAGCTCCAGCAGCTCCAGCAGCTCGCCTCCAGCGCCGGGCAAACCACTCACGCAGCTCCTGGGGAGAGAGTGGCTCCCGGCGAGAAGGAGCACCCGGAGAACCGCCAGGCACAGCACCACCAGGCGTAGCACCCCCAGGCTCAGCACCTCCAGGCGTAGTACCCCCAGGCTCAGCACCCCCAGACGCAGCACCCCCAGGCTCAGCACCTCCAGGCGTAGTACCCCCAGGCTCAGCACCCCCAGTCGTAGTACCCCCAGACTCAGCACCCCCAGACTCAGCACCCCCAGGCTCAGCACCCCCAGGCGTAGCACCCACACGCTCAGCACCCCCAGAGTCAGCACCCCCAGGCTCAGCACCCTCAGCAGCACCAGAGTCACTAGCGACCTCGACAGGCTCAACAGCGTCTACCTGGGACACACCTGAAGGGGCAGGACCCTGAGGGGGGAGGGGGTCTACCGGGGGGGGACCTGGTACAAGGAAGAGCGGTGGCGGGGGGAGGGACGGAGTGCGGTAGGGGAAGAGGCGGTAGTAGGGGACCGACTCGTCGAACGTGACGTCCTGGGAGGACAGAACACGGCGAGAGGTGGGGTGGTAGAACTGCCACCCTGGGGCGTCAGGGGGGAAACCCAGGAAGACGCAAGGAGCAGCACGAGGGGACAGCTTGTCCGCAGACAAGTCGCGGACAAACGCCCGAGATCCCCAGACACGGAACGCAGACGCATCGCCAACCTTCCCCGTCCACAGCAAAGCTGGGGAGGTCTCCGGCATGGAGACCCTGGGCTGAAGGTTGATCTGATGCGCCGCGTACCGAACCGCAAACGGCCACAGAAAATGGGGGGCAGCCGCATGCATCATGGACGTACGGGCGACGTCCATGACCATGCCAATGCGGCGCTCAGCAATCCCATTTTGCTGTGGAGAGTCCGGAAGCGTGAAGGTCTGGCGGATGCCTCGTGCACGACAGTAGGCTCGCAGAAGGCCAGAGGAGAACTCTCCGCCTCTGTCAGAGTGCAGACGCAGAACAGGAAAGTCCGAGCCGAAGCTCCGCCTGAGCTGGAGACGAGCTGCGCGGATCCAGTCGATCAACACCTCAGTGACATCACCCTTGCTGCGCAAGGGGAAGACTGTGGTGTAACGCGAGTAGTCGTCAACCACCAGCAGGAAGTAGCGCTCGTGACCCTGTCCACGGACGCGGGCCGGGCCCCACACGTCCATGTGAAGCGTCTGCAGCGGGGCCTCTGTCGGAGGAAACTGGGAGGAGTGAGGGGTAGCCCGCTGCCGTCCCTCGACACAGGGGACGCAGGTAGGGCCAGGCCCCAGAGGAAGGGGAGGGAGGGACCGGGGAAGACCAGAGACAAGGACACGGGAGGCCATGCTCCGGAGACGAAGCAGGGAGGGGTGACCAAGGCGGTGGTGCCAGAGGAGAGTCTCGTGACACTCAGACGCTTCTTGGGTTGACGACCAGGCTACTCAGCGGTCGTCACAGGGTTACACCTTCAGCCTTGGCTCTGGTTCAGTTTCTTGGCGTTCTACACGCTCGTCTTCAGTTCTCAGCTCCAGTTGTGAGGCTGAGATCTACGCCACAGCCATGGCTGCACAGGAGTTACGCTGGCTCACCTACCTGCTGACCGACTTGGGAGAGCGGCCTCGTTCTCCTCCAGTGCTGTACGTCGACAACAAGGCTGCCATTGCCTTGTGTGAGGAGCACAGACTAGAGCACAGAACGAAGCACATCGCTCTGCGTTACTTCCTGGCTCGAGAGTTGCAGCAGCGTGGTCAGCTTCGTCTGCGTTACGTGGCCACTCGGGCCAACACTGCTGATATATTCACCAAGGCACTTCAGTCTGGTGATCATCAGCGTTTCTGCACTTTGCTGGGGCTTGTGCCCACTCTTCCTCACTTGCTGTAGACCTTGTTTGTACTGTGATCTATATATACATATACCTGCATACTTGCTTTGCTAGGTAGAGATCACTGTGATGTTTGTGTTGCATATATACCTCTGCATGTGAACTGGCCTTGTGGCCCTTTGCTTGTGCTCAGTGTGTGTGGTGACGTCGTGATCCACCCTGAGCTTGCTTTGCTTTTCTTGACTGGTCTTGTGACCTCTTGCTCTCCCCCACTTTGCCTATGGGGGTGTGTCAAACATATGTTTATATCATATTTGTGGGTAGCCTGTAGTGGGGTAGATTATGTGGGGTGTAACCCCTTAGGATTTTCCCTTGTACCAAAATTCTCTCGATAGTGCAACCCACTCATGCCTAGCTTCTAAGATATTCGCCCCGTCACAACACTTCAGATTCGCCCAGTCAGGGCAAATTCGCCCTGACACAAGAAATTTGCCCTGTCACGGACAAGAGATTTGCCTTGACACAGCAGAACTGTAACCGAAAATCCAAGCAACCTACGAAACATGAAATCCGCTTCTGTTGAGTCAGACAAAAATGTCTGATACACGTACACATGATGCCCATTTCAGTCCCCTTCCCCATCTTTCCCTGTGCTCCTCTCTCGAGCATGCGTTCACTAGGGGCAGAATGGGACTGAAAATAGAACAAAGGCTGACAAAAAAACTACAGTTGCGGAAATTGTGGGTAGCCCAGCGTGTTTTGTCTGGGAAACTCGAACATCTTGGTTTTGTCGTGGGCTAGTAACGCGCGGGCCGTTGGCTGTGAATGTCGACCACTGGGCGTATGGAGTGGCAGCGGGCGTGTTCAGAGTGGGCGGTTGAGTGAGCATTAGGGTGTAGCGTGGACCCTGCAGCACACGACACCACAAACATCCACCCCACCCCACCTTCCCTACAACGCGTGATATGTTTAATTCTCATGTTTTTATGAATATGCATGATCAGCTTAAGATTTGAACCTCACACTGAAAGTTCAGCCTAAATAAATTGGGTTGTCTGAATTTTCAGCCAAAAAAATTGATGCCACACTGACTCACAGAGCTCCAACAGGGGTGGACGCTGATCGATCAGCGTGCCTCAAAACGAATCTAGGGGCCTGTTCATTGGCAATGACATTTGGTCTCTTTGCTACTGTAATTCACCACACCACTGATGAAACTGTTGTATCACATTGCAATCAATCATTGTTGCAACCGCCCTTTCTGTCAGCCAACACTATGGTTGCACAAATGGGTCAGAGTGAAAGGGCGCGTGTGATCTTTTTTCGAACTTCCCAAAGTTCGAACTTTTAGGAAGGTTCAACACGGTACGATACAATTGAGAGATTTTTCGCCACGGTGCAAAACGGTTTGAGTTCGAACTTAGACAAAAATCCAAAGATCACACGCGCTCTAAGAGATTTTCCAAATTCTGTGGAGCATGGAACAGAGCTGACGTGTCTAAGTAGACAAGACACTGCTTTCATATGAAGCCTGTGCCTTCCACTCCACACATCACCACCCTGGTGTAGTGTTGACTGAGACAGAAAGAACCGGTATAACCAAGGGTGGTTTGGAGGAACCAGTTTCGGGCATTGGACGTCGGGGTTGATCAAATGGCAACAGAACCATCAATATAGACCACGGACGCATTACATTCATTAGAGAAACAGAAACTCCTGCTGCAAAACACTGCCATATGCACATCAATCCCTCCGTCCCTCTGCTGCATCGCATCAAGCGCTGCTCCCCTCAGTACTCAGCGGCGAGCTTGCCATTGGCAGGGCGCATCCAGCGGCCCGAGTTGTAAACACTCTGCCCCACCACCCAGCCGTCCACGTTGCGCATTATGTGCGCCTCCTGCTGCAGCTCCTCCCTGCGCGCCGCCGCAAAGCTGGGGACGAGGAGAGGGGGGCGGAGAGGAGAGGGAGGGGAAGGAAAATGAAAGGAGGTGGGTGGAGAGATTGGTGAGATGCGAGGAGGTGGGTGAGCTGTGGGAGAGCTGGCCGGAGGGAAGGTTAGGTGCGCTGTGTGAGGGGCAAGGGTGGCGTGGCGAGAAAATACCTGGTGAAACCTAGATACGATTGATGTGGACCGGACAGGGGTGTGCCGTATCAATGGAGCTACAGATATGTGTTGATGAGAAGAGAATGGAGTGTGCATACACGGGGTTGGATTGGATGACCCACGTGCAGGCAGGGAACCCTTGAGGAGAGGGAGAGGTGAGAAGGAGGGTAAAAGGATAGAGGAGTCGGAAAGAGGAAAAGCGGATGTGGGTCAAAGAAGGTAAAAGTGATGGTAAGTTTGACAGAGGGGGGCGGGTCAAAGGTGGGGGAAGAGGCGGGGGAAGGGAGGCGGAAGGGGGGAATGGAGGGGGGGAAAGGGGAGGGGAGCAGCCAGCAGGGGGTGGGGAAGCTGAGTCCTCACCGCGCGTCTTCCTCTGCTTGGATGAGCGGCAGTATGGCCACGCGCGCGTCAATCTTCTCCTTCTTCTCCGCCCTGCCATATGCCACGGGAGCACCGCACACAGCAAATATGGAGAGAAAGCAAAGGGGATCGCGGAGCGCGTGAATGGGGAAACGAAGGAGAACCATCCCATTGAGGGCGAGAAGGAGATGAAGACGCAAGCAGTGTCTCCACCCATTCGCTATCGCGGGTCGTACGCTTGTTCGCGGGTTGTACGCTGCACGAGCACGCGCACGCGGGCACCGCACGAAAACGAATCGCGTGCACGATTGCTTTAAGCGGAAACCATGATGCATCGATCGCATTGTCGACTCGCTTCTTCTCGATCCCGAGCACTACACGACAGTTCCAGCCGACCACCCAGTGATCTAAACTTGTTGCTGCACGGGTCACGTTCACTATAGCTGCTCCCAGCGAGAGCAGTTGCAAACAGTCATGGATGGAATAGACGCCCGTTCGCGAGTGCCGAACAAGCGAGACACGGAAACCTAGCCTCACCTCCGCTTGATGTTTCCTTGGCCGATCTGGTAAAATCCGAATGCAATCACAGCCGTCGAAACCAGCACCAGAGCGGCGCCCGACGGGCCCGTGTTCATGATGCGACGCCCGTATCGCACGGCGGGGAATCCGCCGGGCGGAGGGCCATCCTGCAGGCCCTTGAGGTCTTTAATCGACTTGAGGTCCTTGCTGCCGCGCACCACGTACTCCGTCATCGCGGCGCCGCGATCGAGTAGGCGGCGTCAAGAGAAATGAGGATTGGAAGTTTGCGCCGGAGAAGCGGCGCGGGGCTGGCGGGGGAGGTGATGGGGAAGGGGTGGGCGGAGTGGTGATGGTGGTGGAGACCACGGGAGCGACGCAGACGTCAGGGGTTGAGCTTGAACAAAGGCTCGTTTTCAGCTGATCCGCTGTCGCTACGTAACGATTTGCTCATCCGATTGAGCTTTCGTCATGTAGCAGTTTTGCTTTTTATCTGTCTGCACCTTTTGATAAATGCAGAGCAGCAATCGTTCAGATAAATACTTCAAGCGTACAAAATTTGTTTCTCTTATTTTGTAGCTGAACATGTAATGACGTGATTATATGCTCCACTGTACAAATTTACAATAATAGTCGACGGGTGGCAGTAGCCAACAAATCCCACGGCACAATCAAAGAATGGCATGTCCTAGTAAGAACACCAACTCTCTCCACCCAGTCACCACCTCCAATTGTCCATGCCCAAACCTAAGACCCTCTTCTGTTTGAAGGGATAATATCAGGAACCTTTTCAGGCCTCTTCACCCCCACGCGCTGCAGGACCTGCATGGCGCGCATCTGCGAAATGGCCTTGCCGGGGTTCAGGTGCTTGGGGCATGTGCGAGCGCAGTTCATGATAGTGTGGCACGGCATCAGCCTATCATTCTCTGCCAGCTGGTCCAGCCGCTCTGAGGTGCTCTCGTCCCGGCTGCGGTGGGAAGGGAGGGGCAGGGGCAGGAGGAACGGAAAGGGTTGAAGGAGGGTGTGGAGGGTGGGGGTAGATCGGCAGGGGTTCAAGAAAAAGGGGTTAGGGGTTGTGAGCGTAATGGGAAGATGGTGAAACCATGAGTTACAGACACTGACACTACATAAAAAGGAGCTTGAGGCGAATCACATGCAAGTGCGACGCACAGGAACGATTAGCACCACACAAGTGATAATAATACCTGTCAAACACCCATCTGCTGGCGTTGATAAGAGCAGCAGGACCCAGGAACTTGTTGTGGTTCCACCAGTAGGAGGGACAGCCAGCCGTGCAGCAGAAGCAGAGGATGCACTCGTAGCGCCCATCCAGCTTCTCCCGGTCCTCTACGCTCTGCCTGTTCTCCTTGCCGTCTGCAGGAGGCGTCTTCACCTTCAACCACGGCTCAATAGACCTGAAAAAGGAACCAAAATGTTAAGAAAAAAAGAAGAAAAAATCCCAGAATGTTCCAAACAAATTACTCTCCCATTCTGCTCAGCCACTAATTGCTGTTATTGCCAGTCAGCCAGTCACTGCACGCACTTGTACTGCTGGTACTGCCACGTGAGGTCCACCACCAGGTCCTTGATCACAAACATGTGCGGCAGCGGCGCGATCGTGGTGGCCACGGTGGGGCGCGGGTCGATGGGGCAGAGGCACGCGAGCGTGTTCTGGCCGTCGATGTTCATGGAGCACGACCCGCAGATGCCCTCGCGGCAGCTGCGCCGGAACGCGAGCGTGGGATCCTGCGTGTTCTTGATCGTAAAGAGTGCGTCCAGGATCTGCCCGCAGCAGCGAGAAGGAGCACGCGGTGGTGAGGGGGGAGGAAAGGGGGAACGGGCGTGCGAAATGAGCGGGAGCGAGAAAGATACTAGAGACAAGACCCGCAGGAGCGAACAACAAACGAAGCATTACTGCAGGGCAGGCACTCTCTCGGCACAAAAGAAAGAAACCGGCCTGACCAGAAGGGAACAGTAAGGAAGGGCCAAGAAGAAGGAATCCGCACCATGGGACCGCACTTGGTGGTGTCCACTGTGTACTCCACCATTTTCGCCTTCCCGCCCTCGTCCGGGTTCCACCGGTAGATCTGAAACCGCTTCAGATTCGGCACCGGCTCGCCGCGCCGCGCAGTCGTTGTAGACGCGGTCGACGCGGGTGACGGGGAAGATCGTTGCGAGTGAAGGGGGTTGCCCGCGGAGTCCATCTGGGGAACGTCGTCCACGCCTCTGGACTGCGCCGCTTGCTGCGGCGCGCTCTTGATGGGCGAATCCCAGGAATAGACGAAACTGTGGCGGTGCGGGTTGTCGCGGCTGAGACCACCGCCGCTGCTGCTGTTGCTGCTGCTGCTGCTGGCGAACGCGCGGCGAAATAGCTCCTGCACGGGCTGCCAGCGAGTGTCGCTGCGGAAGAGCTGTGACGCGGAGGGCTTTAAGGTAGTACTACCGATGAGCTTATGGCGCACTTGGGAGGCCATGGCGTCGTCTTCGATCCAACGACTCTAGTAGCACCAGGTGTTGTACTGATGCCTACACAAAGGCCGACGTAGTACAAAATCCAACGTGGTACAGTGACCTTTTGCAACGGAAGAGGATTCCGTAATGCTAAACGAGAGAGGAAAGCGAGAATGCTGTGCAGTCCCAGGGGCAGACAGGGTTTCCATGGCGTGCTTCGCAAGGCGAGGCTGCCTGGCTGCTACGTTCCCTCGGTGCATGTGTGTGTACGTGTTGTACGCGTCGATCGAGAAGAGGAGCTGCGGTGAGAATCATCTCACAGAATTACCCCGCTGCGGGATAGTCAGAGGCTTGCCAGACATTAGAACTCGCTGCCACGTGTCAGTGCTATGTTGAGACTACTGATTGAGGGTGCGGTGTCATAGAATCATGCATTGGTTGATGCTGTGCCTAGCTCAGGGTGCGGAAAACTGGCTTGATCAACAGCCCGTTCCATTCCAAGTCCCAAACAGGGTTACCTCTTCTCATTATCTCCAAACATGTCGCCAAAACTTTCGTCAAACTATGTTTCCTGCAATAAAGTCGTGTTCTTTCATTGTGTCGGCAGTCTGATTAGTCACATCTTTGCTTAAAGCCGTTGACCCAAATTGCACAAGTTTTAAAAGCTTGGCAATGAGGTTCGTCGGGTGGTGCAAGGAAAATTCCTTTTCCTTACTTCGCGTCCCCGCTCAGCGCGTACACCACTATAGCACCACAGTCAGCACCGTTACCACTCGCAACCCTCGCATCGACAATCCTCCCGCCACCTTCGCACGTCGCATCCCGACCTCACGGCTCGGCGGGTAACCCGCGCTCCGGGCCTCCGCTTCGACATTTTCCCAACCTCAGTCCCAGGCCCGTCGCGCGACAACCACAGTCCATTACCGTTACCACTGTAGTTTTGCTATAGATTCTTCGCTCATGCCTTCGCTCATTGTACTCTTGCTTCGATAGTACAATTCTCGTTCGTTCACTCAATTGCACTCGTAACACTTGGTATTCAGAGCCTACGATCTCTTCTCGGACCGCACCCACACCTTCTTTTTCCCCACTATCTCAATTTTGGGGGGGGGTAGACGTCTCTCAGCGACACAGCACCGCCGCTCGTAGTGCTCTTTCGTAAGCATGCACGGCCACGACAGAGGCTCTCGCTGAGCTCGCCCGACACCCCCGCCATGGCCGATTTGACGCTCGCGACATTGACGCAGGAGCAGCTCGACCGTCTCGTGCGTCAACTCGAGGATTCGGCCCTCGAAATCGCGCCACTCACGGCGGAACGTGACTCCGCCCGCCAGCAATCCACGATGAATGCACCAGCTCCATCACAAGCACCCGCAAATGCACCTGCACAATCAGAAGAACCGATCGTCATCTCATCAGGCACACCGACGCAAAACGACAGCGTGGGACAACGCTCAGGCGCAACCAGTGATGGCGCCGCTCAATCGATGCCTGGCATGGAGAGAAATCGGACCGCGCCAAGCCCGCGCGGGCCTCGCGAAGCTCGTCGGCACGTGGAGTTTGCGGCAACAAGTGGCAACTACGACATCATGGCACCAATGCCACTCAAGCCGCAGCGCCCGCCCTGTTTCGATCCAAGCCAACGTGAAGGTCCGATGGTTCAGTCGTGGGTTTTCACGATGAACGTTTTTTTCGACGCGAATTACGTCGAGTCGGACGCAGCGAAGATTCGCTACGCTGTTTCGCTGCTGAGGGGCCCCGCCATGGACTGGTGGCGAGTCATCGTGATGTCGCCACGCGCCTACGAGCCACCGTCGCAAGAGGAAGGGCCCACGGGTCCAGCCGTCACCTGGAGTTCATTCTGCGAAACAGCCCAATACAGCACGTGGGATGCGTGGTGCGCAGGGCTTCGGGCGCGCTTCGAGCCGATCGCGGCTTCTATTTCAGCGCGTCAGAAACTGCGTACTTGGCGGCAACTCGGGTCGGTTCAAGACTACACGAGTGGTTTTCTCGCATTATGCGAGCAAGTCGGCTATATGCACGAAGCGGAGCGGGTGGATTGTTACGTCGGAGGGCTGAAGCCGGACATCTCGCACGAGATCATGCTACGCGGGCTCTCGAACTTCAACGAGATTCTCGCGCTCGCCGAGAAAAACGACATTTTGCGCCGTCCGAGACCGGGGTCCTACTACGGACATCGTCCTCGGGGACCAATCGAGCACGCCACCGTACACGCCGTTGCGACGAATGCAGCTGCCGCACCGTTTAAGGGGCGCTGCTTTGCTTGCAATAGGCTGGGCCATCGCAAGAGTGAATGCCTAGAGGAGCTGAGGCGCCGCGGAGCAGAGCAGGGGAGGGAGTCTCCAAGGCAGGGAAACGCCAGCAGTCAGTAGGAATCGGGCCAACTACTGACGGGACTGCCTGCTCGCCCAACCACACCGACCTTCACCGAGTCACAGTACCGATTCATGCTATCGATCGGGCTCGGATGAATAAGGAGGGTACAGCGACGGATTGCCCAGTATTGATCCACGGGAAAATACAGGGAGCAGCAGTGAAGATCTTTATCGACGGAGGAGCAATTCACAGTTTAGTTAATACCGCAACCGCCCGAAAACTACAACTGACACTTAGCCGTTGTTTACCTGAGATAGACGCACGCTTAGTCGACGGCACGCCACTAGCCATACGGGAAAAGGTGGAGAGAGTCAAAGTCCGCTGCGGGGGAAATTTCGGATTTACACAGGAAATGCTCGCAACGACACTCGATGGGCACGACATTTTA